TCCAGTATATCAAGAATTCTCCTTTTGCTGCTAGGCCTTCCATAACCCTGTTGGTGACCCAAGAGATATTACTTTCTTTTCTATATTTTTCATGCATCAGTTTTTCATGTAATTGTTGGTTCAATTTCCAGCACTCTGTGGCTTTTGGATTAAGCCTAATACATGTCTTGCCAAATTATTTCACCTTTCTTATGCATCAACGCTGCTATATTTAGACAGACCCAGAGAGAGAGATCCTTTATTAATTTAATGGAAATTCATCAACAGCTCTGAGCATAGCCTGCTCCCTTTCACAAGAGTAACGTGAAAACTCTTTCATTTTGCAAATCAGCCTTCATTCCTCCCGCTAATGTATGGCCTTGGTACACAAGTTTTGCTTGGAAGATGCCATGAGAACTAGGAACTTGGAGCATTCGCTGATTAATAAAACCTGGAATTAAAAAAACCATCTTGAACCTCCCTATATATTAAACCAGGTAGCAAAAGGGTGTTGCTCTTTGCCAACCCAATGCTGGTTTGTCGCTTTTCTTTCAGGGTCACAAAGATCCATGGTGGGGGGCGACATTTTGCTGCATCCAATCCACCACCCAGTGTTGCTGCTCTGGCCTCCCTGCAGCTGAGAAGAAAATCTATATGGTCCTCTGAAGTACTGCCCCCTGGTGGCTCGATGATGTATTGCAGACTCAAGATGGAAAATAGGCCAATATAGTGGAATCAATGGGAAACACTGCTGCCTGATGGCTCAGTGAGGTATTGCAGGCTCTGGGGAAAATAGGGCAAAGCTGTAAAATGGATTTTGTCCCCCTGGTGGCTCAATGAGGTATTGCAGTCTCAATATGGAAAATTCCTATAGATCAATCTATAATATGCCCAGATTCCATTTTGCCCTATTTCACCCACTGAGCCTGCATTATCTCAGACATTGAAGGCTCAGTGGGTAAAACAGGGCAATACTATAAAATGGAATTTAAGGGAAATGCTGCCCCCTGGTGGACCAATGTGGTGCTGCAGTCTCAATAGGGAAAATAGGACAATATAATGGGATGTATAGGGTTAGGGTTGGGTTGGATAACCGGGAATGTAATGGAATCTATAAGAAATACTGACCCCAGTGGCCCAATGAGGTATTGCAGGCTCTATAATCTATATTCTCGGGGGAGTATTTCCTATGGATTCCATTATACAGTATTGCCCTATTCTCCCCATTGAGGCTGCAATACCTGATTGAGCCACCGGGGGCAGTGTTTCCCATAGATCCCATTATACAGTATTGCACTTTTCAGCAATTGAGCCTGCAATGCCTCATTCAACCACCAGGGGTTTTTTTGTTGTTGTTGCTTTTATTACCTCTGACCCTTGCATTCACTCAGATTTGATGCTGCGCCCTCCAACCCGCAGCAAACATTCTGCGTGCCTCATTTTACAGGCCCCAATTCATCCAGCAGTTCGGTAAGGACTGGTTTCCTGGCCAGGGAAGAGTATTGGGTTATTGTCATGACTCGTTTGCACCTGTCCCCATAAATCAGAGCTTACAAACCCCAATGACGGGACTCACAAATCACAGCAAAGAACAACTGAACCACATCAGGGCTTAGCAGATTCTCCCAACCCAGCCAAGTGATCTGGTCCAAAGGTAGCTAAATTAAACAATGTTGTAGTGAATAAACTTACTCTGGCTGGGTCTGTACACACACTCTACGCTAACCCAAAGGCAAATAAAACACATTAGAACCGACTGCAATGGGGGAATCAGAGCATCATGTATCCTGCACACTTTATCTTGTGGCTGCATCACTTGCTCTCCGCAGTTTTGGCACATCCCAGGGCGGAGGTGTCTAACAGAAGAAGCAGGTAGGAACTGGAGTTGTTTCTGTTAAGCTGGCTGAGCGTGATGGGCAAAACTAGGCGTGAGAGTTGATTCTCAGATGAGCAGGAAGTCTCCTGGTTTCCAAACAACCCAAAGCTTCAGTCGGCCTCTCCTTCACAAATGGGATGGAGACTTTCCCATTTTCGTATAAAATGCGTGAGGAAAGGAGGCAGAGCCTTCCTGCGCTCATTTGCCCATGTATAAGTTTCTCCTTCAAAAGTAGAGAACTTGGTGGAATTCTTGCACTGTTCCTTTCATCATCTTCTCAATACCTCTTGTAGACCATCCTGGGGATCAATGGCTTCTAGTCTAGGTTGTTGGCATCAGCCTGACATTAGGCGATTCTAACCCATTTGTGGTTTAAGAAAAATGCGTTAGGCCACAATGCATCGAAACCAGCTAATATATATGCCTTGAAACTCACCCAGTTCATTTTTGTCCAGCCAGCTCTCTGAGCGTCTTCTTGGGCTCCATTGGTGTTACCTATTCATTGAGGTGAAAGGTTTTCTCCATTCTGGTTTCTTGGAATACAGAACCCCTCATCCACACCAGCCATCTTGTACCTGACACCCCTCTGAATGCACTACGCTGCCATTCTTGGATTTTCAGCTCCATGCAGCTGGAGGAAAAGGCTGATCGAACACCAACACTCCTTTTAGCAGACACAGATCTAAACCCCCACCAACCCAACCTTCAGTATTAATCCAAGCTGGTTCCTGGGGGGCCCTTTGGAAAGACCTCCTCCGAGTCTTTTTGCCCCTCTGAAGTTTTTCCGTCCTTCCGCAAACCTTCAGGCCCTTTTGCACAGGGAGCACTGTTTGAGTTCCAGAAACCGTGACGCTCCACAGGTCAGAAAAGGAAGGAATTATATTTCCCTGAGAACCAAACAAGAGAACTGAGTACTGTATATCCTGTTTTTCAGAAATAATAGCTAATTGTGGCATTTGAACTGGGAGTTTCTTTCTCAGCTGTAAGTATTTAATCAACCAGGCAGTGGTTTCTTCCTTGGAGGGCTGCTAGTCTTAAAACTTACCCTTCTGGTCTGAAATGACGTGCTGATTGCATTGGATCTTGAAGGTCTACCGACCACCCTACCAACGAAAGCAAAGGAGCAGATTTTTAAAAGTTTATTTGTAAACGGGGCTACCTCACAACCTTGTTGGGTGGAGTGTTGTAAGAAAGCAGTCTGATCAATCCTAGCAGCTTGTGCACTGGAGCTTAGCTGATCCCCACATAAACCCGCCTGGTTTGGGGTCCCGGAAGCCTATCCAATTTCACAGCAAGAAAAATGCCCTCCTTGCATTCTTATGTCTGAGGCATCCTCAGGAAAAGCAGATGAAAGAAATATACCGAGATAAACATTTGTCGTTATTGATGGCGTGCCATCAAGTCGCTGTCAACTCTTAGCAACCACGTAGATAGATTTTCTCCATGATGATCTGTCCCTAAGCTGGTCCTTCAGACCTTCCAAGGGTGCCCACATCACCCCTGTATCTGAGTCCATCCCCCTTGCTTCCCGTCGTCCTCGTCTCTCTGCTTCCACCCATCCCAGCCCTTTTCCAGAGAGCTGGATGTTCACATAATATTAGACAATAGATATGTGGTTAAATATTTCCACATTGCTTATGGGGACTTTTGGCCAGAACCTAGCTCTTTGCAGGGTGAAATAGCTAAGAGAGAATATAGCAATGCAAACCAGAAAGCCACATTTATTATCAAAGCACCGACGGTTTTTTTGCCTGCATTAAAATGCAATTGAAGAACCTGTTTATGACTGGGAGGAGGACATTTCCATGGGCTTCCATGGGATTAGGTAACTCACTTCCTACATCACCCTAAGCCATAATAATATGACTTATTTTTGGCTCAGTGTGTTATGCAGCCCTTTGAATTCTGGGAGTGGAGTCCGCACGTCTTAAGGTTGCCGGCTGGGGAATTCTGGGAGTGGACGTCCGCACGTCTTAAGGTTGCCGGCTGGGGAATTCTGGGAGTGGACGTCCGCACGTCTTAAGGTTGCCACGGCTGAGAAGCCTTGGGCTGGACCATTGCTATCCCTACAATGTGTAGCCAGGCTGTAAAATTGCTTGGGAAATTAATGGATGCAAAGCTCGTGGGGCTGAAAAAGCACTTCGCCCATGGATCATCTTCCTACAGTATTTAGAAGATCAGAGCTCTCCGCTGCAGACCGCACCGCTAGGGGGCAGCAAAGCCCCACGGAAGAAATCTAACCCCTTTCAGCCCTCTAGTGGCCGTTCAGGGTCTGGCAGGCCAGCTCTGCTCCAGTAACCCGAATGAGATGCAATTCAAGCCCTTCCGCTCAAAGCAAAGGTTCCTCTTCCAATCAAATCCGATTGAAAGTCATCTCGCCCAGCTTCTTACAGAGGCGAACTGAGGTGCTTTTTCAGACTGAAAAACAGTATGGAGGCATTAAATAAGTCAGTTGAAATAAGTAAAGTTTGTCCTGGCGGGGCATGGTTCTGAACCTGAAAAACTTGAATGCAAACATTTACATTTCTTTCTTTCTTATATTTGACCACATCTAGGAATACCTAGAGGGAGGGGGGAAAAAAAAACCTCACCACCTTCGCCTCTTTCCGTAAATCCGAGCCAGTTCGGCTATCTTCGTATCTAGCAAGGAAAGAATGTTCGGCTATTTCCGTCTATAATCGAACTCCTCTCCCCCCCTTTTTTTAACAGCTATTGGTTTCCGGAAGTGCTTTATTTATTTATTTTCCCGTCTTCTTCCACCTTGACTTTCCCTCCAACCCCAAAGCAATAGAAAGTTTAACCACGCCCTTTTCTCCTCCCCCTCCCTTTCTTTCATTTTCCCACCCGCGTCCCTTTCTTCAACCAATCAACGCGCCGCCAGGCTCTTCGGGTTTTTCCGCGAACCGTGGGAAGCGTCCCCGGCCATGTCGCCGCTGCTGTTGTTGAGGCTGCCTTTCGGCTGTTTCCGGAAGCACGGCGGAACTTGCCGCAGCCCGGCTGAGGCGGCCATATTTGGAGCCGCCGG